AAAAAAGGGTGTGAATCGAGCTATAATTCGATTTTTTTTTCACTCAAAAAAAAAAAAAAAAAGTCCCAAATTTTTCTGGCTCAAAAACTAATGTAAATTCACCAAAAAAATCATCCGTGGCCATCCTTACACCTAAACTCTCTTCACCTAAACCTTCACCTAAACCTTCACCTAAACCTTCACTTAAACCTTCACCTAAACCTTCACCTAACCTTTCACCCAAACCAACATCTAAATCATCATCATCTAAATCATCACCCAAATCAGCAAATGGTTCATCATCTAAACCTTCGCAAAATTCATCATCTAAACCTTCGCAATATTCACCTAAAATTTCACAAAACAATTCATCACCTAAATCTACGCAAAAAAATTCATCACCTAAACCTTCATTAACTGTAAATAAATTGTTAGCTTCTTCCCCGAAAGTAACAGCCGCCTCGTCCAAGGATGATAACAACGACGATAATGGCGACGACTCGAAATCGACTACTCAGCATAAAACCACCAAAACCGCAACTAACCATCAAAGCACCTCCTCTTCAACAATCAAGTTAACTTCAGTAACTAATTTACCCTCTACAACGCTTTCATCTGATACAGCATTCATCACTCCGTTTTTAACTTCAACTCCAACCCCATCAATTCCAACGGGAGCAACAAATAGTTCCGCCCAGGCACCTCAAATGCCTTGCCTTACTGGTGATTCTATAACTTCTTTATCATGTCAAGATTCTACTCATTATTATTGCAACCTTACAGACCATATGTGCTACTCAAGAGTCGAAGACAATTCACAATGTCAAGACGACTCTGTATGCAATATAAACTCAATTTGTAGTGGAAACGTATGTGTTCCTTCAGGTAGCTCTAATAATTCTTCGATTGACGCTGGTAAAGTTGCTACAATAGTTGGACCTATTCTTGGAGCATTACTACTTTTCGCTATTTTATTCTTATTCTTTTGTTGTAGACGTAGAAAAAAAAGAAGAGAGAATAATAATGTTGGTTCTATGGATGATAATTCTTATCCATTTGCCGCAAGGCCAAATTCATTCTCAAGCAGTACACCGCCACCTGTTCCCACAATTCCTCTAGCGTTTAATAATATTAGTAGTAGTAGTAGTAGTAATGATAATAATAATAATAGTAATTATAATAATAATAATAATACTGAATATACTAATTCTCACTCTATATCTCCGGAAATGGTAATGTTACCAGCAGGAGCTGTTAATAGAAGAAATTCACCTGAAAATAATAAACTTGAAAATCAGACAAACTCTAGTATGACATGGAATCAGACAAGCTCTAGTACGATATGGAATCAGGCCAACACTAATCAGACAAACACTACTACTACAACATATTTATCAGGTACATCAACCTTTAATGATGTAGCAAGTGAACAATCCACGGAAAATGTTAGATTATCAAAATTCATGTATATTTCTAATGCATTAAATAATGGAAACAACGATTTAAGAGATTCAAACTCATCATCAAGTAGTGAGAAGATAGATTCAAGAACTGGAACACCTATTAGACCATTTGTAGTAAATGGAATATCTAGTGAAATGAATTCACCAACATTACCATTAGAAGATTTAACAGATCGTGGATCAACAATATCGTACTTTGCAAATAATAGTAATAGAGATTCAGATGTTTTACCAACTATGGATCAAGATGAATTTGGAAAATCACCAGAATCAGTATATTTAGGACTTGAATTTACACAACCTGAAACAAGACCTTCTAAAGGAAGATATACAATGGGATCAATGTATTCAACATATTCAACATATTCACAAGATTATTCTAATTATCCAGCTTCACCATCAACATTTAACATTTTGCGTGGAGTACAATCTTCAGTAACTACTGGTAAAATTGATCATTCAAGATTACGTAATGATAGTTTTAGTACAGTAACTACACAAACCATTTCTCAAACATATGATGATTCTAGAAGTTCATATATTCAATTAAATGCACCAATATTTAGTAATTTTAATAATAATGGTAGTGGTAGTAATAGTTTAACAAATACACCGACTCATGAATATTCAGATTCAACATATTCTACAGCGTCTTCATTGAATAGTAATTCCAACAGTACTTCCAGTAGTGATCATACTGTGACGCAAAAAAATATGTATTCAACCAATAGAAGTGATCAAACTAGAAAATATGGAAATCGATGCTAATTAATAATAATTTATTTATTAACGTATGGTATGAGCAGAATTAGTTACAATTAGAAAAAAAAATTTTTTAATTATAATTAGAGAAAAAAAAAATTATTATTTTTTTTTCGAGAAACTTTCTATTTATTTAATAGTTCTTTAAATTTTTTGTATATGTTTCTTGTAGAAAATTTTTTTTATAAATAGGTTCATCATAATGTGGGATTCCTTTGACACTTTGTAATAATATTTTTTATATATTATTATTAATCTTTTTTTTTTTTTCACGCATAGTGATGGTCATCTAAAATTCTGTTATTTTTATTTTTATTTTTTTTGCCGGGAGCAAAGTGGAGGACATGAACATGATAATAAAACTTAATACACCTGTTCACCACAAGGGTTTTGCTATACATGCGATAATAAATAAAATTATAACCATATTTAATTCATTAATTTTCGCGTATTTTAACATTATCGTTAGAAGTAGATTATGATTAATTGGTTCCAGTGTACACGTAAGATTTTAAATTAAAACTTATACTAAAATTTTTGAAAGAATTCTTATTTAGAGTATTAAAAGTGATATAATTTGATTGCCCGGAAAATTTTATGAAAAAAAAAATTTCTATAATGAAAAATCTAAATACGGATACTGTACGATAAGCGTAGGGATGTTAAAAGTTCGGTTCGGTTCGACTCGACTCCATGAGTCGAGTCTTAATTTAGACTCCATTCTGAGTCAGACTTGAACCGAGTTCTAATGGTCACATGCAATATTAGATATCATGGGACTATGACAATAACGATTGATAATTGATAACGATAACAGATAACTTTATTTAAAAAAAAATAGAACTTATAACAGATAATTTATATTCTATTAATAATTTTTGTCTATTCTAAAATTCCCGCTTCTAACCAATTTCTTAAAAGCAACGAAGCTTTGACTGTTTGATTTAGCGGGAAGTTTCTTGTAGGCTTAATAATTTCCTTTGCCGCGGACAATGCACGTTCAGAAGCATTGCTAGTAGTTTGTAGGGAAAGAAAGTCTGCCACCAGAAGTGCTAAGGTTGGGTACTGGTAAGTGTTATTTTTCCACCACATGAGCGTGTTGATTCCTGGCTCACTGGGTAAAGCAAGGCATATGTCTAGCTTATAGGGTGGGGAACGGGCCAGCCCGTTGGGCCCGCGGGCTTTTTTTAGAAATTAATTTGGACCATTTCATCAAAACACTGGTCACATGATATACTATCATGTGATTGAGATTTTGGGTGATGGCCCAAATTAGCAAAAGATTCAAAATTGATATGCCTGCGGTTACATTTTTGATAGATCTACAAATGTACCCTAAATCGGGTTACGTTCTTGATGCATTTTAGTTCTATGATGGCCAGTGACAAATATGCATGGTAGCCGGTGTGACAAATAATTTTTATAATATTATTTATTAATAGAGGTGATGCATAATACACTTTTTTTTACTATACAAGAAATGTTTCATCATACCGGTTATCTTGTATAGTATACCAAAGTTTATTTGCCGATCGATCAATTTGTGTATAAATAAAAACAAAAAAAGCGATTTTTTTTTTCCAAATGATGTTGAACCAAGCAAAAAATTGATATAATATTTTTAATAACGTACATTGTGTGATTGCAGTTATACGATTACTTATACGATTACTTTTGACAAATTTATACCTTCATATATCAACCGATTATTTTCGACAAAGTGTAATAAATTCATATTGTCGTACGTTAACCAAAAAAAAAAAAAAGTAATGGAAAATCTGGAAGACCAGATAATTGTTAATAATGATAATACAGTTTCTGTTTCTTTTGGGCGTGTAGCCGAATCATATATATTACATTACCCTCTTCTAAAAAACACTCGCTTAAAGTTACAAAGCCGTTTGCAAACACTACAACTAATAAATCAAGGTTTAATTTCACTTTGTCGAGTTGAGGGAGCGGTCGATTTTATTGAATGGGAAGCTGCTGGAACAAAAAAATCAACTAACCGTATTGATGATGTTATAAAGCTTACGACCAAAGGGCATGAATATGTAAATGAAATTCAAAATGGAATTAAAAAAGACAAATTGTGTTGGTCGTGGATTATGTTTTGTTCCGGTGATGGAAATAATTGCCAACATAAGTGTGGTGGGATTGGAAAATGTTTATCTAGTTGTTCAAACTATGGTCTACGTAACAATTTGAGAAATGGAAATGACATGCACCGTTGTTCTGTTCGCGTTTATTCATTTTCACGATTATCTTATCTTACTTCAAGTCATCCACTTAGAATTAAAATAGAAGGTATACACCTTCCCTCTAATATAATAAATGCCGTTGTTCCAAAAATTTCAAGAATAAATTTGACACGTGAAGTTCGTGATAATATTATAATTAGTCATCACGCAGATCATCGAACAACCAAAGGAATTAAGGGAAAGTTATTGGCTCCATTCAATGGCACTAGTGAAGAAGAACTGAACAATGCATTGTCAAATAGTCGTGAAATTTGCAGCAATACAAAGTTAAAACGTTTAATTACTCATGAAGATAAACGTTTAAAGGATAATACAGGTCCATGGACAATACTTCACTATCTAATTGAGGAGGATTTAAAGTCAAAAGGATATATTCTATATTATCAGCAACCGGATTTGTCAAAACCTGAGGATTCTTTAGAGCACTATTATCAATTAACTATATCGGATGAGTTCTGGTTACGAAATGGTTAAAAATTTGGACAGTACTATTTGGAATTGATGGTAAATACGACCTTAATATTGATCGTGCTCCTGTGTTGACAATGGTTGTCGAAAATAGCAGTGGACATGGAACTCCATTGGCTTTTGGTATGTCAATATGTACATTTTCTCTAATTTATAAGTATTAACCATTGATTACTGATGTTTATTTTAAATATAATTAGGTTTAAGTAACAAGGAAAATAATTGGACGATACGCTTAGCTGTAACAGCTGTTAAAAAAAATATACCATGTACTGATCCTACGTGTAAATATTCATGGCATTATGAAGACCTTCCAAGTAAAAAGAGGTTCCAGAGAATTCGTGATTGTACAAATAATCTGCCGTGGAATCCGATTGCAATGATAGATAAACATAGGGCAACTAAATTGGGCATAGAAGGCATTGTTCATGGAACCATACTTTGTTGGTTTCACATTATGCAAACGTTTGGAGAAAACTTAAAACAGTAGAATATTCCACATTCACTTAGGTTAGTTTTATAAGTTTCATTGTAATGTATTGTATATATATGTTTAAATTTTTAACATAAATATTTATATTTTTTTAAGGTACCAAATTGCATTGGGGTTCAAATTTGTGGGCCGTTGCCGTACTGAGGAAGACGCATTTGAAATGGCTTCTCATTACAAGAATTTTATCAACTCTCTTTCACTTTCTCAAGATCAAAAGTCATCACTTATTAAAGATCTGGATAACAATTGGATGTGTAATGAATGGCGGATGCAATTTATTAATGCCAGTCGTCTTCCTAACAATTTTAATTCACAAAATCCAATGACTACCAACAATTATACTGAAAGAATGAATCGTTCGATTGAATCACAGTTAACTGAGAAGCAAACGGTTGTTACATTTATTGAATGACTTTATGGAATAAAGTTGTTATGTAAAAATCTTCATTCCGAAGGAACCAATAAAAATGTTTATGAAGCTGGATTAGTCACACTTTTTAACGCACAATCAATTGAGCAGGTAAATAAATAAATAGCTACTTATCTTTCAAGCTATTACAATAGTTATTAATATAAGTTTAATTATAGCAACATGAACCTATTAAAATAACGCCTTCTATAAATCGACGTTTGAATCGTGAAAGGCTTTATTTTCTTATGGGTTTAGTTGAATCATCTGGCCATCCAAATTACTATTACATTAAAAAGCCAAATGAATCAAATACAGTAGTCGATTCTTTTGAGGATGATGAATTTATTGAATTGAAGGATTATCTCGATTATTTTCAGCCGATGATCAAACAATTAGCCAAAAAATGTGAAGTCGAACTTCGAGATGGTTTTTATGTTGTGAATATAGTTACCGGTGAATGTCCACTATGCTTAGATTATGTGTGGAATGGTCCGTTTTATGATGTCTGTAAGCATTGTCATGCTGCGCGAATTTTTTCACAAGGGAATCATCCTAATATTATACAAGAGACCAAAGAAAAATTAGTGAATTATTTTAAAAATAAAGAAAAAATTATTCCAGCGGATCAAAAAATAATTTGATTTATTATGGTTCTACGGAGGATGCATATCAAGAAATTATTCGTTTATTTAATTCTGAAGGTATAATATTTCGTCATTATGATATTACAAATATTATAAATAGAAATTAATTTGTCTTTACTACTATTTTAGAGGCATGTATCTTTTATCCAAAAAGTAGTTCAAGCATTTCTAATGATCCATTTCGACCAGTGGAGTTAAGCCATCAATCAATCAATAATGGAGCGCCTTCAAAATTATCGGCAAAACCACGTAAACCTAGCTGCATATTACATGTAGTTTCTGATAATATAAATAATGAAATTTCTCCTTCGGAACAAAAGCGAAAAACGATGAATATTAAAAAGGCTAAGCGTGGATTAAAGGTAAATGAAAATTCAATATAACTCGTTTGTTTTAAATTCATACTAAAAAGGTTTTCTTTTTTATAGGGAAAACAAAAAGAAAATGACCAACCGTGTTCTAAAAAATCTAAAATTTCTGCAGAGATTTTTGAGCAGCAACCATCTACTAATTTATCACAAGTTGTCATGCCTAATATTGAGAATCATACGATAATTGAAACTGACCAGCTTGCGAAAGACAACTCTCAAGAATTTATAGAAAAATTTAATATTGCACGCCAGCATGTATTAAATATTCTTAAACGTTGAATGTATGGTGTTTATCGATATACAGTATAAAACAATAATGCTTTAATTTACAATGCGTAATATGTTAAAGCTTATATT